CATCTGTTTTTTTTCCCACGCATAGATATGTATCCCAATTCACAATTCAACTATTTGTATTTTCTTAAGAAAGAGGCTCAATTTAAGGGAGTCGAGTGGTTTAGGTGCTTCACGGCTGTCCTTGGACATGACAAATCCTATTAAGCTAAAAATGTATTTTCAATGCTCAATCAGTAAGTTTGTCAAGTAGTCAAATCAGTCAAGGAGTTTTCTTGCGTCGTGACCTGATTCACAGTATGAAATTCTACGGGTAGTCTGTTTTTGTTCTTGAGCTTGATGTGAAAACATGGCTAATTTCTGCTTGGGGGAACAGGATGATTTTCATCACTCACTGGAGTTTGAACTGCCAAAGAGCCCTGTACATGGACAGTGATTTATTCATGTCATTCATGTATTCATATAACATGAAAAGTGTTTCACCTCGATCATTTTAACCTTGTTCAAGCGTGTACAGGAGTAAAGTCTTTACCTGTCTTTCCATGACCTTTACAAACTTCTACTATATGTGGTGCCAAATCCCGTAACTAATACAATATTTGACATCGATTTTAACCAGTCATTCCAATTACATTTTCTTAATCTAACATAACTGTACTGCAGGGTATTTCTACATTGTTAAGATGCACTGTATATATTATTTTATTGTAAATGACTGATGGCTGTGATCAACTATTCAGAGCATCCTTCAGCGGGCAATCAATTACCATACAGGGTTTCACTCACACTGAAAAACATGACCTTTTCACCCAATGTCCTCTCAAACCACCACACAGTCTGGATTAATCATAAAATGCCTTTTTCAAACACATATTGATGAATGAAAAAAACAAATGAATATATCTTTTCTTTTTGAAATGAAGTCACAGCTCTGCAGTAAGAATTGAAAGAATGTACTATATAGTCTACACAGAGCACATGATGACTTTAACCCTCAACTGGTCTGAACTCAACCCTTCACTGCATTATTTTTATCAATGTACATGCTGCTAGTCACATATATTAAGTAACTAGAGAAATTGATTTACTATGTTTTTTTATTTGAATAATTACATTCTCTTGCTTTAGAGTGCATGACATGACTCGTACTCTGTGATCTCCGTCTGCACTTGAGATATCATAATGATTGTACAGACTCAAAAAAGTAAGCTAAAGTAGGTTTTCATGTTTTTCTAAAGCTATTTGACATTCCTTCAATTTTATTGAATCAGTTAAGTTACAGAATAAAAAAAAGAAGGACACCAATAAAAAACCATGAACCTGTTACTTGGAGTGTGCTGGCATATGTGCTTTATATCAAATTTAGCACAATTAAATGATTGTATTCTTTTCTTTCTTTAATTACTACTGTATACTGATTGTTTTACAGATGACACACGAGAATGCACATAATGAATACACTTGCATGCAATATAAGACAACATCTTTGCCAGATTAGTATGTCTGCTGTGTAGACAGCTGAGACCGGCAGCCATTCCCCAACACCCTCACCTGTAACATCCTTTTCACAACCCAAACAAGCAGCTGCCCGCTTTATAGTCAGGAACCCATAATGCACTGGGAGCCCCTGTGCATGCCTGGTGTTGGGATTTAATTGGATATTAGTATCCAGCAGTGTCTGAATTAATCAAATCATTTCCATCCATTAATTTAGTGGAGGAACATACAATTAAAACCTTATTAGTGTGCTCTCAAGAGTATGCCTTTTCATCCCTCTGCAGAACATTGAGAGTTGGCCAGAGTCCAGTGCAAAGCATTCTCCACGCTTGAAACTGGTGCTTCCTCGTGATGGGCACTCTGTTGATCTACAGCAACTGGCTACAAGCTTAAAGCAAGGGAGATGTCAGCCTATAGTAAGGTGCTAAAGGGCTGTAGGAAAGGCTAAAAATTCTTAATGAGAGCTTATCTAAATGGAAAAAAAACATTGTTGGCTTCTATTTTGAGTCTTCATCATTTGTCAGATTATGAAATTATCAGGTCAGAGGGCTGACAAGTTTTAGAGTAATTCTATTTGGTGAAATATTACTGCAAAAACCAGCATAAAAATGCCCTAAATAGGGTGAAAAGAGATTTGGAGATTTAGGCAGGGAGCAAACATAATCCAGCACACTAATGTAGGTCATTTTATAATAATTTTAATATTTATATATTTCATATAAAGAAGATTTCTTTCTTAGTGGACTTTAAACTATAGCGCACAGCTTTTAAAATATTCTTCAAGAGAATGGATACAGGAATTTAACTTAATGGTTATTAAAAAAAATTAAGAAAGAAAATGTTAGCATTTAAACCTCAAATCATGTACAATGCACCATTCTGGCCACACAGTTTTTCATAAGCATTAAGTTTAAATCAAACACCACATGAATACAACAATTCTGGTTAGTGCAACTCATTTTTTTCCTTCCTCCTCTCTTGTGAATCTGAGTTAAAATGTTTTTTGCACAAAGTAATCCAGACTGCTCAGATGAGCAGCCATTTTTAATTAAAACCATTTACAGAGGAAACCAAAGTGAGAAAAAAAAGAGCCAAGGGATTTTACACTCTGTCATCCAAGGCTTCAGCGGATCAAAGAGTTTTAGTTGTGCTTTTTAATGGTTACGTAACATTTTTGCCTATGAAATATTGGGCCCGGGTGCCATATAGTCAGTCCAAGGCTCGACAGTAGACTTCCTGCAGTGCACTTTGAGATTTCAGGCAGGATACAATAAGCCTATGTTTATGTCTAAGTATAGCTGTCAATCAATACAATACTACTGGTGTAAGAGGACACTAAAAGTAGGCAGCACCCTCTGAAAAATGTTAGTTTCTTGCGTTTAACTACGATATATTTGCATGTGTATGTGTGTGTGTGTGTGTGTGTGTGTGTACACATTAATTGTATGTATATATGTATATGTCTGTTTGTGTCTGTCTGCGTCCCTGCCTGCCTGGCTGGCTGCCATGTGGCCCACCTCTTACTGTCATCCTGTCTGACATTAGGGCTAAGCTGGATCTCATTAGGACCAAGGTGGCAGTGATCCCGTCAACATCGCTTTGCCTCCTGCCATATGGGTCGCATCCAAGGTAACGGGGCTGTATCAGTCTCCTCAGAGCTGCAAGCCTTGTTATGGCACACAGAGACGGAGTATCTACTCTCTAGACGATCGTGTACTGTACAAATAAAGCTGAATAAACACGTCAAACAGAGAAGACATGAAAAATACTCATGATGAGATAAGATAAGACAGACACACATGTACAGTGTGCTTACTATACATGTTTGCCATAAGAAATACAAATAATATCACAAAGATCAATCACGCTAATGTTGTGTTTTATAAGCTATGAATTAGAAAAACTATTTAAGATTTGATGTGGTTATCAGCGAAGCTTGTTATTAAATATATTTCAGTGTGATGAAATCACACCACACATCTTACAGTGAAAGGTGACAGTAAAAGGTTTTTTTAATATCTTGTTGTACAATAAAGGTATGATAAATACAGGAAAGCATCAACTGTCATCATCGGAAATGTTTTTCATTCCATTTGTAAACTACAATTAATCTGTTGACAGCTGAGGACCTTCGTGAATATACAGCGAGGGCAGAAACACTGATAAACCGACTTTTTCCTAGTCCCTTCCTCCAAATTTGTCCCTGCAATCTAAACAAAAATAGAAAATGAAAATAGACAACTGAAAATGGTAGAGCAATCAGTGAGATCTGCAAAGTTGGTTTGTACAAATTCAATCAGGAAAACTTTTTATCTAATAAATCTCCATTTTGAGATTCTGTGTAACATCACTGCCCAAAGTCAGCCTGGAATTGTCATGGTAAAGCCACAGTCGAACGCAGCGGACATCAGCGTACGCCAACAACCCAGCAGAAGCTCAAATACTGTACTTCTCTTACATCAAACGTCTGGCTTTCTAGCCGTGCAAGTAAACAGGAAGTCATTTATGACTTTATTTTGTGCTTCTTTGCACCAGCTCATAAAAACTGAATTTATCCCATCGATAAATAGATGATAGCAATGTATTTTACAAAAACACCAATGGACAGTAAATGCTATTAAAATACATAAAAATCATATCATGCTCATGTATTTCCCAGATACAGGGCCACTAACCTTTCCTCTGATTTACTGTAAACAAACTCCAGCATGTCTCTCTGTTGCGTGTATACATACTTCTGTATTTTTAACAATGTTACCATGTGTTTCATGGTATCTAGATTATGGCTTTGATATTCACTGTTATTAATCCTGTTGATGATAATTTACTTCCCTCAGCGTCACATGTAACTAGAACACCAGAATACACTGGAAGCAAAACAACTGTGTCAAAGTTGCACTTTGCCAGATTGGCGGCTATTATAGATTTTTTCCCTTTGGCCTGTTTGTTTTGTTTCAGCCCCCACCCTCACAAAAGCCACTGTTTATTTCATCAGTTTGGCAAAAGCATGTGATCAATCATTCATAATTTATTATGCTGCCAATGGCCTAGGGCCCATAAAAACAGATATTTGCATTACACAAGGTCTTAGTTGGACCTCTCGATAACAGACCAATAAATTTTGTTGTTGTACATACACACTAGCCCCTGATAAGAGGTAAACTTTCCCTCTGTGTTACAGTAGAACACAGGGCAGTGCTAGCAGAGATGCTTTTGTGATCACATGCTACTATAACAATGACCTGGACCCCGTCCTTCAAATCCTGTTTCCCCAGCCAGCATCCCACTGCCTTTCCCAAGCCCTGCTGTTGTTATTATTTTTGCACTATTCAAAGCAAACGCCCTAAATCCCTTGTGCAATATGAGTCTGACTGAAAAAAACTGGCCCTTATATATGATCCTCTAAATAGGCATGCTATTATACAGGTATACTGACAAAATAATTTAGGAAAAATTAAAACTGCTTCTCTCTGTAAAGCTAAACCGGAATATTTATCAAAACTTAGCTAAGCCAGAGAACTGACGGAGATACGCTGAAAGGCACTAGACATGTTCATTCTCCTTACCTGTCCGTGATGCAGTTCTGACCCGGGTATCCCTCACCTCTGGCTGACAGTGACCCCTGTGACATGCCTGGCCGAGATTTCCAGGACTCCATTAATGCAGTTACGGGTGAAATTAGATTCAACAAAGGGTTGGACTGGTCCCTCACATCATGCCGTGTGAAAGACATTGTTCCTTGAGCTCCAATCTGGTAATGGAATGAATGTCCACCGGAATTAACTCCAACAATGGCCGATGTGGGCATGCTGTTATTCTCTTGGTAATAGCTGCCATCATTGGTCTCCTGCTTAACCCCTTTAGACAGGACATTGTTGGAGAACACATCGGACTCATAGTTCCCATTCATAGAGGAGACAGGGGGTCCTAAGATACCAGAAAGACTGTATTCATCAATATTATTCCTCAGAGACAAATAGGTGGTCTCAGATGCAGGAAAGAGACCAAGAGATGGTGACTGATCACCGTAGGGCTGAGGGTTCATACATCCCTCATTTTTGTTTGGCTCACTCTTAATCTGTGTGATAAAAGGTGTGCTACTCGCATTACATTTGGAGCTGCCCAAACACATGCTCCTGAAGTCAGTTCCAGGCTCATTCTTAATGTACTTGACCATGCCCATCTGGTCTAAGCCGACATTGAACACCTCCCCGTCTACCATCTCTACTTTTGGGAATTCAAAGTTCTTGAAGTCTGTGTCTCTGGTCAGACCTGCTGCTTCTGGGCTGTTGGTGTCATTCTGCACCAAACCCAGTCCGCCAGCAGGACTGGACACAGGGAACCCACCTGAGGAGGGGTTCTGTGGGCTGCTGACTGCCATGGTTCCCCCTGTGGCCGGACTGGAGAGAGAGGGCCTTACTGTGTTGCAGTTGTTGGCAGTGCTGGTGCAGCCACCACCTGTAGGGCTCGAGACCGATGACCTAATATTACAGGTAGTGCTGCAGGACGGAGGCGATCTCACACTACTCATACTCTGGGGGCTGGACATGGGGGACCTCATGACATTGAGCGGGCTGGTGAGTGGTGGTGAGCCCACTGTGCTGGACTCTATAGGGCTACATGTGGCTGAATTCCTGCGCTTGATGTTGGCCAGAGTTGCAGCACAAGACGTCTGGCTGACAGGACTACTGACGGAGGAGCACGCTGGTCCAAAGCACGTAGGAGGACTGGTGGTTGATGACACCATATTGTTGCTGCCCCCGGGGCTAGAGATGGAGCTGGAGGTCTGGGGACTGCAGGACAGAGATGAAACCAGCATTGAAGCTGAGCTAACTGGGGTCCCAGCGGTGCATTCTCTGGGAGTGGTGCTGGGCTGCTGGAAACCAAATGGCTTTAACTTGGGGCTCTTTGTGGAACCACACTGGGTCTCCTCCACAGACCGCCCACACACTGGATACATCTTCCCAGGGCTGGTACTGCCCCCATGCTGGCTAAAGGCAAAGTCTGCCTCCCTGGCAGCATTCATATACAAGCCCATAGACTCAGCCACAGTCTTGGAAAGCTCCTTGGAGTCCATTTCCTGCTTATGACCATGGAGAGAGTTGTTGAAGTGTGGGAGAACAAATGGCTGGTTCTGGCTGAGCCGAAGCATTGGCTGCTCCTGCTTCTTTGTATTGTTGTCTTTGCAGTCAGTGGCCGGGCTTCCAGCAGGGCAGCTAACATTGACTATGTCCATCAGGATATCGCTGTTGGTCAGACTTGAATCCTCTGTACTGCAGCAATGCTCCATGGTGCTCGGGACCTGCGACCATCTGTTCTCTGTATCGCTTCCATCAAAGAAACTTTGGTATCTTTTGGTCTCCATTGCTGGCTCATTGATTCACCTGGTAAATGAGGGAAAGAAAAGAAAGAAAATAATGAGAAAAATTCAAGTCACACAATTCAAATTCACCTGCCATAGTTGAGTGGCAGGTGTATTAATGGTATTTACCTTCAGGCAGAGATTAAAAGTCTCATATGCGACCAAAGTATATATTAATAATTATGCTAATGAATCCTAAATATGTAGTATAAATATATAGTAGTCTTTCTGGTTTTAGATAGATGACAAAGCAGTTCCGCTTCAGTGGATAAAAACCTAATGAGGCATAAAAGGTAGGGCAATAGGAAAAAAAGGGCTGAGTGAGGATGTGACACACAACAGATTTCACTTATTTTAATATTATAATAACTTATTTTTAAAGAATACCAAGACTCAAACATGAATTACGATTTGTTAACAATATGTTAAATCGGGGAAGAAAAAAAAACTCCAAAGCAAGTCTGTACAGTATTTCTTCTCTCTCACAGATAAAGCTCCTTATCGGCTGCACTACAGGAGATGTACAGTCTGATAACTTGGGGAAAAAAAACTGCATCGCAAGGGTTAACGTAGCTACGTGACGTCGTCTGGGCTTTTGGTTTAAATTCCCACCTCTGCTGCGCTCCTATTGGACAGCTCAGCCAGAAATCCACCAGCTTTATGAGGCCATTCACCGATTGGTCCGAAAGCTGTCACTCAATAGTTATTGCTCTTGCAGTCACAACATAGCTGCGACATAACTTGAAATGTTGCTTCAGCGGCCAGAGCAGCCCCGTCATGTGCAAAAGCAACAAAAAAAAAACAACACATGCAATGATAAGACACTTCATGTATCAGATTGCAATGAGAACGCCTTGCTTTCACTGTTTGCTTTAAGGTCTGAATATATATATACGTTGCATGCTTTGGTTCACTCTTTGAAGGGCTCACAGCTGTGGAGTAGCTACGTTAAAGTTATTCAGGCTGCCTGCAAAATATCCCATGCACATTTTGTGCAGATCCTTACGCGTAAAGATTCAAATAAAGAGAAGACAGCTTGTTAATTCCTCCTTCTCGCTCCTGCCGTGATTGCCCTGCCTCTGTGGGGCATGCAACTCTCTGCATATCTCTCCATTTTGCGTTTGCGCAGAATATATACTTAAAAGATTCTTTTTTTTCTTTTTCTTTTTTTGGCCATGCTGATGCTGTTGCTGTTGAAGTTACTGTTTAGGTGTGTGAAAGTCGTCTCATTGACGGCTTTTTGAATGACAAGAGCGACTAAGTGCAGAAGGAAGAAAATATGAATGATTTAACTCACATTTTTATTGAGAATGTCTACTTCACTAGATATTTCTCAGCCCCTCTTGACAGGTGCGTACAGATGTACAAAAACGAGGCTTCTATTAATTCTACTGAAAATGACTGTGGCTATTTTTGTTTGTACACAAAGTACATAAACTTCTTGGCGACTTTTTTTTTTATTATGGACCGAGACACAGGGCTAACGGTCCCGGTTGAAAGTTATTAAATTTTCTCTCCCACAGCAAACGAACCGGGGGATGCAAGCAGTCATCCCGGACTGAAGAGCGAGGAGTTTGCTTTCATTATCATCTGAGACCCCCAGCGCGAAATTAAAACGTACAGTCAAACACTGAGCTCTGTCCGTCCTTACCTTAATTACGACATTCAGAGTTGTCAGGTGGCCGTGTTGCTGGGCAGCGATAATCCAAGAGGACCAAAAAAAAAAAGAGAAAAAAAGACACGCAAAAGCAAAGTCAATAAATATCAACAAATGTGTCCTGTCTACTCTTGCCAATACATAGTTTTCAGTTTGACAGCTAGACACACTGGAGAAGTCTACTGCGTATTATCACTATAATCCTCAACAGCGAACGGCTGCTCCTGACAGGACGAACGACAGCGGCGGGTCGGACGACAGCGGCGGATGATCTCACATTATGGCCGCAATTTTGCAGATTACCGATTCGCGGGGCCCCCCCGGATAAAAAGAGTATTAAAAAACAAACGAAGGAGTCGGTCGGACTTGAAGTCAGAGCGACGTCATTCTATGCACATGGACCCTCCTACTGCAACGAGTGCAACACAAACTCCGAGGAGGGGGAGGAGGAGGAGGAGGAGGAAGGGAGGAGGAGGAGGAGGGGAGGCAGAGCGGAGAGAGGGGAGGGGCTCAGCGCAGGTAGACAGAGTCGCCTGGAAATAGGGCACCGTGCTCGGTGCGGTGTTGTTTGAAATGAACTCTCGGGATAACAGTGTGAAGCAGCCTTTTCTTTTCACATTTTATTTAATTAGCTACAATGTTCCTGCAAGTTTGTTTGTTCGTGTCTCTGTTGCTGTGAACAGCCCATCTCCCTTCTTCCCTCTGTCTTTATAATTTTTTTTTTTTTTGTTTAAACATCTTTTTCTAGTGCCACCTCTCTAAAGGTTTGCTTGTGCGCGTTCACGCACGCGCACGCGCACGGACAATTTAGATAAGGAGTAGATAGAGCAACGAGCCTTTCCCAGCCTCTGTTTACAGTTAACATGGATCTTTAAAAAAAAAAAAAAAACTCTGCAAATATTAAGCGAGGAGTCATTCTGCTGTAAGAGTGAAATCAAGTCAGGCTGTTGCCCTGTAACACCATAACGGCTGCTTCCACTAGGTGGAGCAATATTTCTATTGCTGTTTGAAATGCAACTCTATTGAGTGGTCAAGATGTCACCTACTTCACTACATGTCAGACTATGGTAGAGGAAAAACCTTCATTTTCATGCCTCAAATAAGAAAACTGAAATAAACCTCAGACTTCTTGAGTTCAAAACAGAATTTAAATCTAGTTCAACTTGATTTTTTCCCCTTTTGGTCGGCCAAACTTAACATTTTAGTTGTCAACCCCCATCATAAATAAACTGATATGTAGAGAAATGTGTAAGAAAAGTGGAAGTGGAATATTGTTTAAAAAACTTTTAACTTTTAAATATTAAATATGATCAGTATCTCTCACTGATAATGTCCTATGGTGCACATTTGGATTAAGCTGTTGCTTACATTTTACTGCCGATATGTGATGGCATTGGTGTGTGACTTTGGTTTTACTCCTGCAACAGCCAATAATCAGTTTAATCTCTGGAGTTGTCAGTCAGTCCAGTCACATCCTGTAGTGTTTCACGTGGCTGCATAAAAGTGCACATGTAGGATTTAGGCTTTGAGAGAGGAGCTCTACAGTATACAGTAGTTTGAATGTTTCTCTTCATTGCTTGTCTGGTTTTTCCAAGCCAGCCTGTAGCCATTACCCAAGCGAGGCAGCAGCAGTTAGATTAGTCAAAGCCATCCAAGAAACACTGCCCACCTCCCTGATCTGCCTGTTAATCACCCATGAATGGGGACCTGCTTCAGAAAGAGCAGGAGAATTGAGATATAACCAATGTTTCCCACCCCCATTCATGCAGCTCCCACTTGTCCATTGCACATAATGGGTGCCAGTCAAACACATCATGAGCAAATCTAATTTAGCTTTGCATCACAGATTTTTCCACAGTGACAGAGTCATAAGAATCTGCAAACTGACAGCAGAACATGGCTGATATGAAATCAGTAATAATTGTCTCCCTCCCTGGTAGGAATTAAAGGCATCTCTGTTGAATCCCACTGAGCTTTCAAGCACTGTCGTTTTAGCAAAAGGAGTGATAATCACACAATTCTGAAAACATTGTTTATATACATATATTGTGTATATACACACGTGGGCTAAAAATAGTGTCTTGTGGGGGGGGGGTCCTTTCGAATGAGTGATTGCTGTGATTAGGAACAGGCTCCCACTCCAGTTTAGACACAAAGCAGACAACTCCAGTAGCTGAGAGGGCCAAAGGCATAAGAGAGGTGCATGCTGCGCCTCATGGGGACAGGTGAATTGGAGCATGTTAACTCTGAAACAAAACACTCGTCAACTCAGCAGAAGACCCTGTCCCCATCGTGTGTAGTAATTACAGAGGTAGTTTTAATCAGGGAAGAAGTCCGTCACCATCATCCTCCCTCAGCTGCTTATTGTTCCAGTTTAGCTGTTATTCTTGAGAACCATTCATCTGAAGTGATAATGTAGTTGTTCCAGAAGGGAGCCAGCCCCTCTTCTTTCTCACAACTTTGATTTGACTGGTAAACATGTTTTAGTGTTGACTTTGCATCCAGCAAGTCATTCTCGTAACATGTTTTTGACTGTTATTTTAGCCCTTTTAGTCTTGAATTCATCTCTGGTGGAATTAAAGCTGCTAAAACATTAAAGGACCAATGTGTCTGATTTAGTGGCATTTAGCGGTGTAGCGCAGTGACAAACAAGCTGTAAACAAAACATTTATCACATTTTACTTTTTCGCAAACTATACACATCTAGCAGATACAGGCAACATTAGCATTCATGTGGAGTCATAATTCTGGCCACCTAATGAATTCAAATCCAATATTCACTCTTTTTTAGCTTAGTTTTTACTCTCCACCAACTTCTTTTAGCTGCTAACTATGTCCACCAGCCTAGTTGCTAACTTTGTCTGTCTGTTATTTGGTGCTGTTCAGTTAGGAGGGGGGGCTTGATGGTGAGTGGTAAGAGTAAACCAAGACAATAAAGTTGCAGGCTGTAAAACCTAAACAATGCACTGGAAGATGGTAAAACACTCTGTCGAGGTGAGGGTAATTGCAGAGTTAGTGATTATTCTCTGTGAGTTCATACCTACAAGTTGAAATCTCCACATACGCATTTTTATTTGATCAATTGTTACAATGAAAATATTGCAACTTTAATTGAAATACTAAATCACTGCTTGTCTCAGGAATATCCTTGTTTTACTGTAAGTGCTTTTGCCCCTCAACTGTGTTGGCCAACTGTCCAGTAACATGGTAGATTGCTGGAGTGAGATCAAGAGACACACATCATCACCAACCCCCCACCACTCTGGCCAATACTTTTTGTTGTTGAACACTCATGCTGCATGTGGTACATTTCATGCCTATTTGCGGCAACTTTGAGCCCATCTGTGCAAGTATCACTGGCCTGTTTTCATTAAATGTGTTAATTTGCCATAGCAAACTATTTTCTAGTTAACAAGTATTATTCGATGAGGAACCTGGTTTCATTCTGTTTGTCTGAGCCAGTCTTTAGTATGGCTGTGACGTATCTGGCACAAAGACTGAATAACCTCACAGTTGGATGACAAGACTCTTGTCTATGAAGGTCAGAGATGGGAATATTATGCTATTCAATTTTACCAAGGGTTGCTATGGGAACTAGCATGTTCTGACACCTGATCTCTGGTCAGTGTAGGCAGATTGTAAAAAAGAGCCTTGAACAAATAAAAATGTATATAAGTGATTATTTTGAATGAAATCCCTCAGATTTATTATTCATTGATAAAGACTGTATGCAGGAAATGCAAAAGGAAACAAAACCTCTTTTGCTATTGTGGTATAAATTAATAAATATGATAAATATTCTAGCCTCTGATTTCTGCACGTAATCAAAATATTCACCCAGAGCGAAAATTAATTTACACTTAAACCTGTTCATCCAAGTTATACAGTTACAGTTAGTGCATTATCAAATATGATAGATATAGTATTACTGGTACAAAAGCAGTCAGATAAATGCAGAGTTACACAACCAACTTGCAAGGTTTTAATTAATTCACCCAGAGGTATAATTACAGTCAGAATCATTGAAGTGTGACTTCAGTGTGAAAATTTACACTCAATATTTCAAATAAAGGCATATTTAACTGATTCCTGAGATAGGAATCTAGGTTATGTTCATGCATTATTTCAATTTATGTTTTGTTTGAATTAAAATAAATGACATGTTTGATAGAAAATAAACAGCCTGCGAAGCAAAGTTATCATGTGTCTCTCGTGAGACTCCAGCAACATAAATAAGACTACCATCCAGTCCCACTTTTGACACAGATTGCTGTTCACCTTAAGTTGCCCTTCTACACGGATGGCACGTACCATTTAAATGCTGAATGATATGCATTCAGCCTGCCTCCCTGCTGAAAGTCTCTCGTACTATGTGTACACCACCTGGGGTTTGTTCATCCTAGTTAAGCAATGACGATTGAAAACATGTTGATGATTAAATAACATGTTTACCCTCCGTGCAGTCAGAAATACATATTCAGTGGGAACACTGCGTATAGGCTACTGCCTGGCTTCAGATCAGACTATTAACATGCAGAGAATTATCACTAAATGATGTGTTGTTCAACAAAACTGTGTCAAGTACATTATGAATTGATATTCCTGGTGTCTGCTTGCAAAAATTTTCCCAATCCCGCAGCATCTTTAGATGCCAAGGTTGTAAAAAGCAAACAATCAGATTGTATTTTGTTCATTTTAGTATATTTTGGCTGAAATATGACTGCATTTGCTTTTGTTACACACATCTTGTTTGAGCAGCTTCCATATTTTGGTCAATTGGCACCTACATGGAAATATTGTGCTTATTACTCAACTACATTTATTTAACATCTTTAGTTTCTAGATAGTTTGTTAAGGTAATATTGTTTTTCAAAACAACTGATCAGCTTAGAAAATATGGTGCATTTCTATAAATAAAACTACATGACAATATATAAGTTATATTTCTGATCAAATGTTTCTACTAGTAATAATAAAAGATCTTGGGGTGAAGATTTTTGGTCCCTTGATGATGAAATGTTGTGAAACATTTTACTGAATGCAAAGAAAATGACATGTTCTAAAAATCAATTGAATACAAGATTATAGACAGACTACATGTTACCTCAGGTATTCAATGTAAATATGACTCTTTCTGCTCTCCATTATGTCTGAAATGTAAATAAGAAGGATAGTGGTACATACACTCATCTCATGTGGTCGCGCCCTAAAATTGTATCTTTTTGGCTGGCAGTCCAAGGGGAGATTAAAAAAGTTTGGGATAGATAATATCTCTTAATCTGTATAATTGTGTACTGATATTTTAGTGCTGTGTGAAAAACACATGTTAATTTTGCCACTGGAAAGACTTTGTTTTGTTTTGTTTTGTTTAAGTATGTATGTATGTATATGTGTATGTACACATAGCTGAGTGACTGTA